ACTGATGTGGGTATGGAAAAAAAAGCCTCTGTACAGATTAAAGCTGTTGTAGAGCAAAAACTCTGAATGTCTAACACAGAGATTTCCTTGTCCTGTGGCGTTTTTCTTAAAAACCATCTTCAGCAAAAAGGGTCTGAGAACACCAACTCAGTCTGGAAGCAGGGAGGGATATAGGTCTAGGTTAACCATGCAGACTTGGAGAAGACCGACAAGAAGCCAGATATGACATCATGATAAACTGAATGTAACAAGGGTTTCCAGTGGTATTAATATTAGATGATAATGTTGGAGCGCAGCTGGTAATTAGACAGGAGAGCTGCCAAGGCCAGTCATTAGCAATGTTGATCTACTTACTTGAAAACCAGACAAAAGGTACTGCAGATGTTTCTCTGTCACTTTTGTTTTGGCTGTAAGGGACATGAAAGCTCATAGCAGGTAAAAAGTTCACCTTCCTGCATAACAGTCTTGGATTGTTTGAGTTGCCACAGGATGTTCTTATTTCTTACTTACTGTGTTTGGCCCAGAACTGTAAATCATAAACACCAGCCTGTGTAATTCTGACTTTTATTACATTAATGTATTTTAAGAGCAGGAAATCTATAGACTCTTGGCTCAGTGCAGGAGAAACAGAGCACGGTGGGTACTCTGTGGTCAGGAATGTTCTCAGAAATATGCCTCTCGCTGAAAAGGTGACCTCAAGATAATCTTTGCTTGGCTTCTGGGCTGGGGAAGGAAGGACATCTCAACCTCTCAGCACAGGTGTGAGCTGGGAATGGGTTCTGGGTGGAGGAGGAATTTTTTCCCTAAGCATAAGGAGGGAGGAGGGGAAGGGTGGAAAAAAATGATGTTAACTTCAGTGCTGAGACCAGCTTGTGGATGCAATATTCTCTTTGCAGAGGGTCATTGCAATACTCATCACTGTACAACATCAGCAGCGTAGCTGAGATACCAGTGGAAGGCTCCCGATTCCGAACCCTGGTGCCTTCTCTGCTGAGCCCTGGAAGCAGCTTAAGCTCTACCTGCAACCTCTTCAGGAAAAAAAATAAATCCTCAACATGTACACATTGGCAGCTGCACTGAAGTGTTTCCTCAGTCTCTTTCTAGGCATTAAGCCATTTTAAATAAACCTCGTGTGTTTTGGGACGTTCCCCTCCAGCCCCACTGAGTGTCCATTATGCCACAGCATGCAGAAGTGATGTTGTCAGAGACTGGAAAAGGTGATCTGTTTTGAGACATCCTGGGAATGAATGGCAGGAGGTGGGTCAGGCCTTGCCCTGCCCCAGAGCCCCCACCCCCACAGTGTCTGTCAACCATGGCACACTGGAGACAGCCCCAGTGTCACCTATCCAAGTCCCCAAGAGGCTGAGAGACAAGAAATCCCTCCTGGGGAGAAGGCCCAGGATGGGCCAAGGCTTTAAGAAGCCTGACCACAAGGCAAGCACACTGCCCCTCAACCCTACCTTCATCTTGGAGTTTTACATCTCTGTGACCCAGGAGTTGGTACCTATGTGTCTGGTTTTTTATATCTTTCCTGTCATTCTCTTTTTCTCCCTTTCTTCTTTTAGGGAACATAGCATCAAATTCTATGTTTGTGCTTTTACCTCTTGAGAACATTTGGTTGGAATTTTCTCCTTTGCCTCTACCCAGAGCAAAAGAACCTTGGTTTAGGCCTAGGTTTGAGTGATCGGCGTGTAGCATGTGCAGCAGAAAAATCCTCAGACTTGTGGCTGGCTACCACCAGAATCCATATTATAAGTGCAGGTGAACTCACTTGTGATCATGATCTTCTCCCTGAGCATGTAATTTTCCACTCCGCTTTTGCAAAGCTGTTTTAGTATGGGGAGAGGGAAATCGGAGAAACCAGATTGCTAAGCACTTGGTCTGCAGGGCCAGGACTGCACTATCCATTTAGGGTGGCCTCTGGGCCAGACTTTATACTGCTGTGCCTGGAGAAAAAATTCCTCCCCGTGTGAACAGTCTAGCCTGAGAGAGCCTTGTCAGTGGTGTTCAGCGGGCTGTGTTATACCTGTGAAGTTGCTGGTGAATACAAATATTTGCAGGAGAGAGGTTCAACAAGCATCCGTATTTTCAAAGGCATAAAATGTGGATTGCTCCTTTATTTTATTGCTTCTGAATATCTGACCCTGAATATACTGCTCTCCTTCAACTGTGAAAATGTGCTGGAGAGTCTTGAACATAAGAGCCATGTTACAGCTCTTGATCCTTCTCATCCCTGAGTTCCCTGCCTGCTCAGGAATGCCTCAGGTAAGTAGTGCTGAGCTGCTGGGGCAATTATATCACTGGGATACCTTTTAACCTTTCTTTTAGCTATCATACACTGGGAGAATTACACTAAACCAGGTCATAATAGAAATGTTGTGAAATGGAAGTCGAGATAAGAGAGATGTGCTTCAGTAAAAGTGAAAGTGGAGAGGGAGTGATGCGAGGGGGAGATTTGAACCACATCTCCAGGTTCAGCCTCTGAAGAGGAGAGGTAGTGGAAGCTAATGCAGTGAAATGAGCTGTAACAAAGCCACACCAGGAGTTATTCAGCTGTTCACAAGAATTTTAGAAGAACTGTAATTGGGAAATGATGTGAATATCAAACAAAATGTCACTTGACTGGAAGCCTTGAAAAGAGGGGGAAAGAAAAGAAAACGAAGAAAAACCTGCATTACATGTCACCCTCTTAGACACACTCCAAAAGAGTTCCCTGCTCTCCACTCAGACCTTTTGGCATGCTATTGTGTAGCATTGTGTATTTCTGTGTGGGGTGCTTCTCCTTGAAAGAAATTAAAATGATGGAAAAGCTGGCATGTCACATTAAATAACATCACATGTTTTTCTATTGGGGAGGAAAAAAAAGGAAGAAGTACTATGCTGAGTTCCAAGAAAATAACTACTGAGGAAATGAGTGCAGCAACCAGCTCGGATCCTGTCCCTGGAAAACAGCAGCCATGCCAGCACAGGCAAACCTGCTCTGTATCCTGGCAGGGTTCAGAAGTAGGCTTGAATTTCTTCTGCATGATGTTTGCTGCTGACTTGCAGACCAGATTGCCCACATCTCTGCTCTCTCCCAGCTGCCCATAGTGATTTTCAGATTCTAATGTTAGAGGGTTTTTTCCTAAAATTTGAAATGTGTGTAAAAATATCAGGATTGTTGACCACCATTTTTGCTCTTCTTAACTAATATGCACTTTTTCCTGCTAAATTCCCTGTCTAACATTCTTCTGTGGGAATAAGTCATCTTGAAAGCACTTTGGCCTTGTCTTCTTCGTCATCATTATCTTTACAGGCAAAGAGCAGCACTGGGATGGGTCCTCTGGACCCCTTGATGTTCTCCTCAGCACTAGCAGAAAAAACTGTCCTTTGGATGACCTGCAGCTCCTCTCTCTTTAATTTAGTGTGAGATTTTGTCTGGAAACACCAGGTTTCTGCTGCATGTAGAAACATAAGGACCCTGTGGGCCATCGAGCCCACTGCATGCCTGGTGAGAGGAGAAGGATTAGGACAAAATTTCCTTTGAGGTTTACCCAAGTGAAAAAATCCTCTTTTCTCCTGAAAGGAGAAGATGACAGTGCTGTGGAGAAGTTACCAATCAAGAAGACAAGAAGAGCACTCTGATTTTGATTGGACAGAATTTCTCAGCGGCTTCATGGTGCTCCTTCTCATCCCAAATCTTCTGCAACCAGGAGCTTTAAAAAGAGGTTAATATGGGTTTTGCATGCTTTATTTGGAAGGGGCTATATGGAGGAAAAGGAGTGATACAAGGCACTGCAGTAAGACAGCTGTCCAATAATAGATACAGTATAATATTATGCACATAATATTATATACATCAAATGCATTAGTAATGGATACTGCCTTTTTACTAATGTTGTTATGCATCTCTCATGATTTGATATACAACCCTTCAGGCAAATATTCTTAAGGGCATGATGAAACAGATATGTTGATTTATATCTGTAAAATGCAGTGATTTTGATGGAAATTTCCCAACTTGATTTTTTAAAATAATGCTTCATGTACAGTAAGCATAAGAAAAATCCTGCCTTGGAGCATTACAGGAAAACAACAAAACACCAATCCCTGTTGTATTTTTTCCTTAAGTCTTTACTATAGAGCTGGGAGACACTTGCCATCTTTAAAAGGAGGGAAAAAAAGTTAATTCACTCTTTTGCTGAGAATATCAGAAAATGAGGTCTGATAATAAAATTTTAGGTTTCTGGTCAATATCTTCTTATTCTGTCTTTGAATATATATTTGGGTTTTTTGAAGTTTGGTTGGTTTTTTTAGATGCCTTTTTGTCTGGTGCTGTTTCTAGTCAGCGAACCACCATCTCTAAAGGCACTCCCCTCCCCCCGCATCGGGCTGTGTTGGGGAAGAGTTAGAATAAAATACACGTACAAGCACAGGTCCACAGGCCAAGAGGGTGTCTGCATAGCCTAGAGGCAAGGCTGCTAGAGAGCACTTGGTAGAGCCTGAGCAGTAGTTCCCAGCTGTCAGAGGGTGGCTGGGCAGGGGTCCCTGTGCCCCACCATGTGCCCCTCAAGCACAGAGGGAGGGTGGAGAGGTGACAGGAGGCGATTTGAGCTGTCATCTGCACTGTGGGCACTTGACTCCCAAAGAGAGGAGCCCAATCAGTGTTGAAGAACCAATTCAGGTTTAAAAGGCCCAGAGCCATACTTTTTTGGGGGAAGCCGCTACTGTAAAAAAAAGCAATAGGGCGGCTCAGCACTAAGAGTCAGCCTCATGCAACCTCTCAGCAGAAGGTTTTGGTATTTGCATGTTTCTCCCTGCTTTCTTTCCCATTCAGAAGGATACATGAAGCAATGAAGATGATTTGTGGCCTATTCTTATTCGTGCTACAGAGAATAAGTGTTGTTTTCAAGTCTGAGCAGGAGCAGGTCTTGTATCTCCCTCAGCTGTACAACTCTCAATTGTTTTTCTCCCCTCACTTAAGGATCTTACAGAGGCACACCTCAGCTGCAGTTGTGCTTTTATCTTTGGTCTCTGTTATTAATGGGTCTAATAGCTAACATTCTTCTGGATGAGACCTTGTTAATCAAAGACTGTCTGCTCTGGTAAAGGTCTAATGGTATTTTAAAGCTCTTCTTCCGAGGGCAGAGCTTTGCCTGTGAATCGTTAACCCAAGTTTCCCCAGGGCTCTCTCTAGAGCCCCTAGGACTCTCTAGTTGTCAAGCACTGCCCCCTTTCCTTGCAGGGATGGCTGCTTTTTGGTGCATCTGAAATGCAAAGAGCAAAATCAAATTAAAATATGAGCTCCGTGTTTAAGTTAAATAACAGTGCTTCTGCTATTCTGAATTCAGTAGAGTTCCTTGAAATAGTTTCCTGGGAAAGGGTTTGGCAGACTTTACTTTCCGACTCATACAAATATGAGCCGTTCTTGCTGCTTTGGAGTGACTGAATGGAGGAGGTTTGCACACTGTGGTGTGCTTTTGATTTCCTTTTTTACTTTATTCCAGCATTTTTATTTTTTTTTTATTTCCCATTTAAAAAAAACACTATAAACCATCATTAATTCACTTGAAAAGCACTGTGGGGGTTTTTTTCTCTGTTATGCTATACAAAGTTATACCATCAAATATTACCCTTCTGTGGGACTCTCTTCTAGCTGGCTGTATGGCAATGCAATTGAAGGCTTGGCAAATACCAGCAAGTAACTCTTGATGTTACTGCAATGTTCTGAAAAGCTTGTATAAGGATAAAGCGGTTTTCAGCTATGCATAACTGCAATGCAAAGTGAAAAAAGAAATATTAGAGTATGACCAAACAGTTCCTGGTGGTTTTGTTCTTGTGCATCATATGTGCTGGGGGAAGAAACTGTTCAGTTTTCAGAGCTACTGTAAAGGCTCCCTCTAGTAATGTATTGGACATTACTACAAATTGAATGGCAGCACTTGCACTTGTGAATTGAAGCTTTGCACAGCCCAGGTAGCAAATTCAGCTACTTCACATTCTTCATATTAACATGAAAAGCCTGATGTGGTGGTGGGGGAGCCCAGGTCAGCAGATTTCACCTGCAGAGGAGGGCAAGAAGCCATGTTTTGGGGAAAAGCAGAGGAGGTGGTCTGGGTGCTGGGGGTGTGGGGAGCAGCAAGGGACTGATGGTGAACGCAGCAGGCTGCCTTTTGTCATCTGGGTGGCTTCACTCAGCTCGTACCTTGGAGAAGGAGACCGGAAAACAGGGAGTGAAAGAGTGGATCTTTTAGCAGCTTGTTTCCTATCTTCTGCAGTGGGGCACTTAGAAGGAGAGGAATGGGCCTGTAATTATTTTACGGTGACTCCTCCTGCCCCCTGCTCTGTCTGGCAGTCTGAAAAGCTGCCTCTTCCCAGAGCGGTGCAGTTGGACACCGCCTGGCATTGCACTGGGCATCTTGCTGTAGGAGACAAAGACCTGCCTTTGAATGCCCATAGAAAGACACTGAAAGTAGCTGGAAGCATCCCAAGACAAACAGATGAAGTGAATGTGCAGACATGGGGGTAATATTATAAGAGGATTGACCATATTTATCCAAGGTATGAAAAGCGCTATTATTCCCAAACAAAGAGGTAACCTGAGGAAGCTGCAGCTGTCAGGGAGGAGCAAATCAAATGGGTTCTCCTCTTCTTTACGCCGTGACAAAATGTGCCAGGGGCTTTGTGAGCAAATAGAAGGTAGGGCCCTGAGGGGAACAGCTTACAGTTTAAGGCTAGACCAAACAGTTCTTGTTTGCAGGGAGCATTCTGCAGGTTAGGGAAAGGGGAGAGGCGATTAGAGGGGAGATAATCTATACTCCCTAAGGGATAGCACACAGGCTAGCCAGATCAGATGGTTCAGCTATCACAATAAATCCATTTGCTGTCTGTCTAGATTACTGTGTGTGTTTTTGGGGTGGGTACTGCCTTTGCTTCTGGAGCAGTCTGACCCTCGAACTCTCCTGCTTTACAATGTGCTTGGAGGTGGGGCAGCTCTGAGCTTCTCTCAGCTTCCTGATGACAAAATACTGTAGGCTCTGACCCTGAGGGAGCCTGGAGCCACGCAGGAAACATTAAGCATTGAATCTCTGATCTAGAAATGCTTCCTATCACCTTATTTTAGGAATAACATTCGCACATTTAAAATTTATTTTTGACTGCAATGTTTGATCTTGTAGCTGAGACGAATCTTCTGGTGTTTTCTGCTGGCTCTCAAGTCACCCTTGGAGCTGGGTCATTCAGGCAGGTCACAGGTAGAGCAATGTTGCTGGTGTTCAGCTAACCTGGTGTAATGACACAAGCTCTAACCTGAAATGCAATGCAATATCCTGCAGCTGAGAGATTTTTATGCTGGTGCAGTTAAATCAATAAACTTGGTAAGTTAGGCTGGTACAGATATTTTTAATTGCACTCCCTACAGACAGCCTCACAGTTCCAATGTCTAATCAGAACTGCAAACTATTCAGAGGAGTTTTCTTTGCAAATAAGTTATGAGTAATCAATAACTCAGTGTATGTGTGTGTGCACAAATACTCATTTAGTAATTCTGGCCTGTGAACACATTCATTAACCTGAGTGCCTGATGTTACCCCAGCCTCCCTCCCCTCTTCACAGACAGGAAAAAGGAATACATTCATTGATTACACTGCTTTAATTTATTTGCCTAGTTCTAATCTCTGCACAAGATAAGACTGCTGAGAATTGTCAAATTGCATGTTTTGGAGAATTGAAAAGGCTATTTCCTCTCTATTTCCTGCATTATATGATAATGCAAGATCCATGGTAGCATTTTTGCTCTCCATGCAAAACATGGGTTAATGGATAAAGCTTTTAGAGTCACTGTTTTGTGCTAGTATGTCCCATCATTTATGCACAGAGAAATTAAAAAAATAGTTAATACCAACGGAATGCAACTGTACTTTGAGTGAACAAACAGAATTACCTTCCCATGAGCCCTTGTCTTTGGGAAAGGCTGGTCCCAATTAAATAAAAACAGATTGGTCCTGTTCAATGTATGTCATTTTGACTATGTCATTTTAATGTTGAAGGTTTATTTAATTACAGTTGCTTTAATTCTGTCTCCTGTGAGTTATTGCTGTATTCCTCCTCCCAAATTCCTTAGTTCAGCGTTGCCTCTCAATGACAGATTTCTCTCTGCTTGATGTGCCTGCTGCTTACTTGTGAGAGCAGGAAAACCTGGGCAGCAAAACTGCCCTTCAGTGAGTGTTGGAGGTGGTCTTTGTTATCAGTCCTGCAGAACTGTTGGTAAAGCACCTGCTGCCTTTCACGTGAAATGTGTTCTGGTTTTAGTTCAGCAGTGGGAAAGGGAGACGACACGGTCAGTGCTACAGGTGCAGAGCTGTAGGCGAGTGTAAATCTCATAACTTGCTGGAGAGTGGCAGGGTGCCCTCTCCAGGAACCACAACACTGACAGGCCAGCCAAAGGCTTACACTGCAGAGGACAGATTACAGGGAAAGAGACAAGTTGCAAGAGGGAAAGAGAAATGTGAGCGAAGAGGAGATGAAATGTTGGGAATGTGCAGATGGAGAGAGGAAGGAACAGCAGCAAAGGCAGCAAGCAGGGAAGAAGGAGTAGCCTTCCATGACCTCAATACTCCCAACAGCATGGAGTACCCCAGGGCCCCAACCTGGGCACCCACATGGCTCCAGGCACCTGGAGATTCAGGTGTGGAGGCAGTGTTGTGCTTTGTCCTTCCTTGGAGGATGATTTGCCATTCATTTCACTGTGAGGAGCATTGTGGTGTGGCTGGAGAACTTCCCCCTTCCACTCTGCCTGCACCATGTAACAGCTACAAACTGTCCATGAGAGCACTGATAAGCCTTATTCCTGCAGAAGCCTTTTCCTGACTTGGCCATGACTAGGCCCTGTTCCTAACCTTCCCTGATGCTGGGGTTTTCCTAAAGCCCAAAGGGTACTAGTCTGGGTCAGGGGGAAAGGGACAGGGGCTTAGTGCATGGTGGAGTCATAACAGTGTCCCCCAACCTGCTTTTCTGTCTCCTGAGTATAGGTGCCTCTCATCATTCCCTTTTTTTTTTTTTTTTTCCCACATGGATCTGAAATGCTGTTGTGATTCCTCTCTGGAAATTATGAGGACTGGCTGTTTCTAAAGTGGTGGAAGGGTGCTGCACATTGTGCTGGAGGGACCTGGGAGCCTTTAATCAGGTTGGGTCTGTCTGGAGACATAATGGGAGGTCCTGCTTAAGCTTTAAACCCAGGGAAGAGACTTTTTGGACTGAACTGGTGAGGAAAATGGTGAGGAAGCTGAAATATTCACAAGACCTCTTGCCTTATCCCCCGGGTCACAAACTGCACAAGGCTCAGACAATAGGGTTTCTGAAGCCTGAAGTCAATTCTGGTTGACTTCAGTGCTCAGATAAGAGTACTTGCATGCAGAGAAGTGCTACAGTACTGTGACATGGGAGATTTATTTGTCAAAAGTGAGCTGGGTATTTCTCATCAACTCTAAAGTCACATCAACAGCCCTAAAGTTATTTGTGGGTTTTGGTTTTTTCCCTAAGTGAGGGTAAAATAAAAATCAAAGCAGAAATAATGTGTCCCTGCCAACACTTGCTGTGGTCAGCCCAGGTGCATGATTTTGAATGTACTGATGGCTATGGTATGTGACAACCCCTGGTATCCTCAGAATGGCTGTGTGCTCTGGGGAAACACAGCTTCCTCCTGAAGGCCCTCAGAAAGGAAAGGGGGAAGAGAGTTGGAATGTTGCAAACATCATTTACATATCTGGGAGATGAGCTCATCCTCTTCTGTGCAAATGGAAATCAAGAGGATCCATGAAAAAAAAAACGAAATTGAATTAGTATTTTCTGAAAGGTAAAGAAAGCGCTGCTTGCCTCTGGTAATGGGCTTAGAGGAGGAGGAAGCTGTATTGCTAATGTGCTGCAAGTGTGTAAACATCTCTCTGGTTTGTAAATTCTGTTTCTTTCTTTAAAGCAAAACCTGCAAAATTCCCGTATTTCTGAGTTTCTACCTTCCTGACCAAGGTGTGTGACTTCTGTTCAATAATTTCCACTGCCAGCTGAATGATAGATACCCCCTACATTTGGGAACATGCACCACCCACCACCAGCTAGACACTTACCTAAGGAAGGAAATTGTTTAGTCTATGAAGTAACTCCTCTATTTCCCTCTAATTGCAGCAACTCTCTGTTGGACAGATGGCCAGGTCTCTGCATCATGACAGGGAAGTTCTGCTTATTTGTCTGTGCACCAAACTTTATTACAGCACTTCCAGACACATTTATTTTGAGTTGACTTCAACCACTCTGGTGCTGCATCAGAATAAGAGACAACATCTTCACAGCAGCACCTCCTGCTTATTTGCCCTGTCTGTAAAAATCTCCCTGCTGCTCCTCATCAGACTTTGCTTGATGTTTTACTCCCATCTAGTGCTTTTTATTAAAACTGCTGGTGTTGTGTTTCTGATATGGGACTAGTCTGAGCTGTTCAAACACCACCTTATTTCTAACCTAGGTGTTAATCAAATTTCTTTCCATCTGGCTATGAAAATCCACAGCTGTTTGATCCTCCCAGGTGTACTGGAGGTACAGGAAGGAGGGAGATCCCTGCATCTTTTTGCTTCTGTAAAAGTCTTCTGTGTCTTTCATGTACAAGACATTTCTTTCATTATTGTTTTCTTGCCAGAGGAATCTTGACACTTATGTTTCTTTCAAGCAGATTTCTTAAATACGTTCTTGTTGATATTGATGAAAATGGGAAGGCTGCTATATGAAATATGAGTGGTGTACTTCAGTGGTCCATATTTGGATCAGTGTTATTCAATATATTCATTAATGACATAGAGGGGTCAAGTGCACCCTCAACAGATTTGCAGACCAGACTAAGCTGAGTGGTGCAGTTGTCACACCTGAAGGATGGGATGGCATCCAGAGGGACCAAGATAGGCACAAGAAGTGGGCACATGGGAATCTCAGGAGGATTAACAAGACCAAGTTCGAGGTGCTGTACCTGGGTCAGTGAAATGCCCAGTATCAGCGCAGGCTGGGGATCGAACATATGGAGAGCAGCTCTGTCCAGAAGGACTTGGGGTGCTGGGGGATGAGAGGCTGGACATGTGCACTGAGCCCAGAGAGCCAGACATGTCCTGGGCTGCCTCCAAAGCAGCGTGGCCAGCAGGGGAGGGAGGTGACAGATACCCCACGTGCCTGCATCACTACAGGCAGTGAGAGAGCCTTGGGCTGAATGAGCTGGTGTGCCCAGAGGAAGCAGGTCTGTCTGTCTGTGCATTCAGTGTGAGACTTACATAAATAAAAAGCCCTGAACTCTTCCAGGGAGTAGCTGATGAGCAAAGATGGGTCACACTCTTCAGGTCAGTGTGTCAGAGTTTTCTGCTGGAAGTATCCCCGTGTGGGAGAGAGGTGAGCATCCAGGGCAGCCAGGTGCTGGCATGGTCCCAGTTGTGTGTTATTTGTGTGCTGTCAGTTCCTTACTGTAACTGTAGTTTGTTCTTGATACAATGGTTAGCGTGCAAATTAAAAGAACATTAGAAGAGGTGTTCATGCGGTGGGGAAGCTGGCAATAAAGCCAGATTTCTCAGGTGGAGGGTGCTGTGTTTTGAAGCAAAGCAGCTTCATGTAGGTT